GCTTCTTTCCAGGACTGTGTAGTTTAACAGCATCAGTGTCTATCATTCGGGATCAAGATAACATCAGCTTACCTCCTTCTCTAGATTATCTTTAAAAATACAACTACATCTTTCAATGGATATAGGATATTTATTTCACGATTAGTTTAACGATTGTTTCACCAAACGTTAGTTTCTATTTGCCCTCTGTTTCTATACTAATTTTCCCCATCTTCGTTTAGTTTTCTTTAACTTCATTTCTTCCTTACAGAATCTTCCAAAACTGAACTTCTTGGCATTCCAAATATTACACTAAACGGGGCATCAAGTTCTTGTAGCTCTTTGATTCTTTCTCTTTTGGATCTTTACCAGCATTGGAATAAAGTTATCTTCCCCATTTTTCCACTCTCTCCATGTTGATGTTAATCAACTTTGAAACACATTAATTTAATCTCTGCTTTGTTGTAAAGCAGTACTTCGTATAACAGAAGGTAATCCGATTATATCTTTCGGAGTCAAAAAGGGTTTCCGGCAATCAAGCATGGCTGATCCGAAATGAGAAAATGATGAGACGACTTTACTAAAGTTTTGCCTCTCATCCCCTGTGCACTTAGCTATCTCCCACTCAGAATTTAGGAGAAATTGCGAGTGTCACGAGCAGGCTAGTTTCCAATGAATTACTCGTTCCAAATCACGGTGTGCCGTTCAGAGATCTGTGGAAACGTGTTTAGTCAGAAGCTGACTGTGACGAATAGGAAAGAACGTGCAGTAAGCTTCGAACATCAAATGACGAAAACTGAGTCAACGACGAGCGGCTGGACCTACGTGGTCATTGAACCACAGAACATTTCAGTTCTGGGGACATTCTGAATTTAAATAAAGGGATATATTTGAGTTACTGTATGTTCAGTGAAGCTTACTTGAAGCATGAAGTTTCACTGCTAGTTTTGTGTGTGTGTGTGTATGTTTTCTTTAGTTATAAATAATTCATAGGCAATACATCACTAGAAAACATTGCACAATGTACTAAACTCGTTTATAAACAAGACAAAACGAAAAACATTTACGAAATGCATACATCACAGTGCACGAGATCTCAAAGCTCGAGGATCTTCGAAGTGATTAATAATGAAACTGTATGAACCTGAATAAGAATGCAAGCTAAGGTCACGTGATCGCTTTTTTGATTTCTCAGCGCGCTCGGCTACAGGATCTTGATAAAAGAGCGCATGCATACAAAATAAAAACGGTCACACAGAATGACTAATCATGACACAGTCCAAAATACACGGTATTTTTCTAGAGTCACGAATATCAGAAACACTGACAACGTATCTCCCTTCTGAAACACGTTTATCCAGTGAATGGATGTGAAGTTCTACAGAGGGCGCGTTTTTCTTGTTTATTAAACAGGATTTATGGTTGAAACACCACCAGTGTACGATGCGTGTAAGAGTAATTTTAGCGAGATGTTGGAGATGTGGGAATATATATATATATTACTGTAACTTTTCTTTCTTTCAGGGGAAGGTAAATATATGGTAATATATTGTGAGATGCTTGTTAACCCCAATATTTTCAGCATTTCAACAAACTCACCTATGTTTAAGACGGGACCGAAGACGCTCGAATCATCCACCGTGGTACAGTTCCAGCGGCGATATCTGAACTGCCACTGACATTCAGCTATTCCCAGCTGAGCCCCGTGGCCCACGTGTGCGATGTGGTCCCTATAGAGGTAGCAGAGCTTGGTCTGTCCACGAGACAGTCCTGCGAGTTGCGTGCAGAGCGGCCGCGTTCCGAGCAGGTAAGCCTGGGGATTCCTTAAAATATCGATACCTTGAAAACCTAGGTTCCTGTCGAGAAATAAGAAATGTTAACTAGACAGAAACACGTGAATAGGCTTCTTCCTTTTAAACTTTAAATATCTACAAATAGCTAGCTCTACACGAGACATGTTTGTTTTCTGTGTTTGAAAACATTGAATAATTCAATAGACCAAAATATAACTTACCGTATCAATTCATAATTCTTGCAACAGTAAACACAAGAGATATGATGAAATCTATCACTGTTATGTACAAAATTATAAATGATCTGAAATCAGTATCAGTTTTCAGTTACAATACCATAGTAGCAACGCTGTCATGTATAAAATTATAAATGATCTGAAATCAGTATCAGTTTTCAGTTACAATACCATAGTAGCAACGCTATCATGTACAAAATTATAAATGATCTGAAATCAGTATCAGTTTTCAGTTACAATACCATAGTAGCAACGCTGTCATGTATAAAATTATAAATGATCTGAAATCAGTTTCCAGTTACAATACTATAGTAGCAACGCTGTCATGTATAAAATTATAAATGATCTGAAATCAGTTTCCAGTTACAATACTATAGTAGCAACGCTGTCATGTATAAAATTATAAATGATCTGAAATCAGTTTTCAGTTACAACACTATAGTAGCAACGCTGTCATGTATAAAATTATAAATGATCTGAAATCAGTATCAGTTTCCAGTTACAATACTATAGTAGCAACTCTGTCATGTATAAAATTATAAATGATCTGAAATCAGTATCAGTTTCCAGTTACAATACTATAGTAGCAACGCTGTCATGTACAAAATTATAAAGATCTGAAATAAGAATTTGTTTTTGTCAAACTAAGTAGCTTTGTGTGTTTGAAGTTAAGCACAAAACTACACAATGGGCTGTCTGTGCTTTGTCCACCACGGGTATCAAAACCCGGTTTCTAGTGTTGTAAGTCCGTAGACATACCGCTGGGCCACTGAAATCAGGATCACTTTTTTATCTAAACTGTAATAGTAACTCTGACATGTAAAAAATATGAATGATCTGAAATCAGGATCACTTTTTTACTAAACTGTAATAGTAACTCTGTCATGTAAAAAAATATGAATGATCTGAAATCAGGATCACTTTTTTACCAAACTGTAATAGTAACTCTGTCATGTAAAAAATTATGAATGATCTGAAATCAGGAACACTTTTTTACTAAACTGTAATAGTAACTCTGTCATGTAAAAAAACATGAATGATCTGAAATCAGGATCACTTTTTTACCAAACTGTAATGGTAACTCTGTCATGTAAAAAATTATGAATGATCTGAAATCAGGATCACTTTTTTACTAAACTGTAATAGTAACTCTGTCATGTAAAAAATTATGAATGATCTGAAATCAGGATCACTTTTTTACTAAACTGTAATAGTAACTCTGTCATGTAAAAAAATTATGAATGATCTGAAATCAGGATCACTTTTTTACTAAACTGTAATAGTAACTCTGTCATGTAAAAAATTATGAATGATCTCAAATAAGGATAATTGTTTTTTAACCAAACTAAGTATCAAGACCGGTTAACTGAGTAGAATGTTAAATGTGGGTTTAAAAAAAATAGTTAAAATGCGGGCAATACTCTTTTTATTAAAATATTAGTGTATAGCGCGGTTATGCTTTACTGTGCTACAATAACATTTGTACGTCTAGCACATCGAGATAGGAGACAACTGCCAACAGAAAGAATCAGCATATATATACTGTTATGTCCATCAACAGTTTGATGGATAGAAAAGTTTAAGTGAATAACTTAAGAATTTGCATCATCAATTTTAATGTAAAGACTAATTATCCAGGAAACGATCATTTAGCTTTTGTTCAAAGCAGTAAAAATAAATGGCACGCCAAGACAATTTGTTATACCTTTCAACTGTTAGTATGTAGTTAAAAATGATTAGTTCAGCAAAAACGTGGTGATAACATGGCACTATCTAATCTAGGGCGGGGTTGGAGGGCATGAAGAATGATCACAACATACAAAAGTAATTTAAATCGTCTATATCTGTGGAACGTGTGTTGGAACATCTCGATCGCCATTAACCAATTAGTAATTTTCAGTAGAACTCACATGGAGGAAGAAGCTATGCACCCCCTCATTGGTTCAGCGATAAGTCTGGGGGCTCGTACCACTAAAAACCGGGTTTCGATACACTTGATGGGCACAGCACAGATAGCCCGCCTATTGTGCATCTTACCAAAAAGAAACATTTCTTCAAAGCGGTATAAGGGACAGATTACAAGTACAGGGCTATGTCCACGATATTTAAATAACTGATTGCATGAGAACAATATCCATGATGTTTCATTAACCTCTGGCAAGACGTCTATATCCACGAAGTTCCAATGACTGGTGGCATGAAGGCTATATCCACGATGTTTCATTAACTACTGGCATGAAGGCTATATCCACGATGTTTCATTAACCACTGGCATGAAGGCTATATCCACAATGTTTTATTAACCACTGGCATGAAGGCTATATCCACAATGTTTCATTAATCACTGGCATGAGGACTATATCCACAACGTTTCATTAACCAATGGCATGAAGGCTATATCCACAATGTTTCATTAATCACTGGCATGAAGGCTATATCCACGATGTTTCATTAACCACTGGCATGAAGGCTATATCCACGATGTTTCATTAACCACTGGCATGAAGGCTATATCCACGATGTTTCATTAACCACTGGCATGAAGGCTATATCCACGATGTTTCATTAACCACTGGCATGAAGGCTATATCCACAATGTTTCATTAATCACTGGCATGAAGGCTATATCCACGATGTTTCATTAATCACTGGCATGAGGGCTATATCCACAATGTTTTATTAACCACTGGCATGAAGGCTATATCCACAATGTTTCATTAATCACTGGCATGAAGGCTATATCCACGATGTATCATTAATCACTGGCATGAGGGCTATATCCACG